TTTTTCATATTATAAAAATAATAATAATAATCAAATTCACATCAATCAAAGAAAATGAGCTTTCACGTGGACTCAAATGCCTAAATCCAAGGCATGAAAATTTACACTTGAAGTCCTTCAATCTTTTAAATTTTTTTGTGGACTTATCATTATAAATAAAAAAACTATTTCAAACGTCCTAAACATTTTAACATCAGATTAGGGTGTGACAGTGATCTATCTCATCTCAAAGATAAAAATTTATAATTATTATCAAACTTAAAATGTAAAAAATTAATAGATTTTAAATGGTATAAATATGTTGTTATGACTAGAGTAATGTAAAGATTCAATAATCAACAACCATTTTGGAAAAAAAGTTTTTTAACATGCCTTTCTAATCTTTTAGGAGAAAAGGCTAGAAATCAAAGTAGAGAAAATTATAAAGGAGTAATCTCATACAGAAAACTCACATAATGTGAAGATTTAAAATTACAAAAATAACTTAAGAGAGAGAGATTTATAAAAATAGAATGATGATCATTATATTTTATATAAAATACAAACTAAGAAATTTAATTTATTAAAATCCTTATATGTTCATAACAAACAGATAAATAATTTAATTAACCATATAACTAGAAAGAGGAACAACAAGATTAGTTATTAATTATAAATCCTTAAATCGAGCATTAAAATGGATTAGGTATCTAATTCCCTTAAAAAAAGATTTATTACAAAAAACTAAATAATGTCAACATTTTTTTCCTTCAAAATTTGACATGAAATGAGGATTTTGACATATCCAATTTAGAGTTTTATTTGAACAATATGAATGAAATGTAACGTCATTTAGTTTAAAAAATGCTCCTTCTGAATTTTAATGGATTATGAATGATATTTCTAGTTCATACTCGCAGTTTATAATTGCCTATATTGTTGATGTACTAACATTCTCAAATAATTTTGATAAATACCTCAAACATTTATATATCGGATACAGATAATTGAAAATAATGTTCTAGTAGTCTCAAAATCTAAAATAAGGTCATTCCAAAGATAAGAATCCTATAATAGCATATTATCAAAGGAACCATTACCCCAATCGAAAGATCTACAAAATTTGCCAATAAATTTTTAAACTGAATCCTTGACAAAATTCAATTATAAAGATTTCTAAGAAGTTTGAATGATACAATTAATTTTTATCTAAGACATAGCAAATTGTATAAGCCCTTATATGATAGGCTCAAAAAGAATATACATATTAGATGGATATTTATACTAATATTATATCCCAAATTTAAAAAAAAATACAAAACTAACTTGCATACATATATCCTAGGGGTGAACAATACTCGACTCGAAAAACTGAATTTTTTGACTCGATTCGACTCGAAAAAACTCGACTCAAATTGACTTCGAGTTATAATTTCATAAACTCGACTCGAAAATTTCAAATCGAGTTTGTTGAAAACATTTTGATGTTTCGATATAACAAATTAAGTGTTATTGAATTTTAAGATTTTATAAATAATTTTTGAAGTATATTCGATTAAATTATTCGAATATAAAAAATATTACTTCAAGTTTTTCAAATGTCAGTTTCAATCCTTACTAAAGTGTAAAATTGTGTTTGAAACTTAAAAATTTTTGAAACAATTTTTACAAAGTATTTCGAACCATAATCAAGCCAAAAATCAATTTTACAAAAGGGATGTACCGAAACACTCTTGGATGTATTGATACACACCCAATATCGAATGTATTTTATGTACCGATGCACAAACCATGCATCGATACACTCTTATTTTATTGAAACGTCGAATGCATTTTATGTACTGATGCACAGACCATGCATCGATACACTCATGGCTCTTTTAAAACATCGAATGCAATTAGTGTACCGATACACCCCAAGTGTACCGATATACCCCAAGTGTACCGATATACCAGGTCAACCAACAGTCGAAATATTTGAATTTTACACACATTGTACCGATACACCTTGAGAGTGTATCGATACACACACGCTCCAAACTGATTTATTTAATTGTTTTCACACCATAACGGCTCTATTGGCTTCACCAATGATCCCCAACGTTCAGAAGTAATCCAAGGTGTATTTAAACAAGCTCAGGAGCCATTGATCAATAACAAGAAACAAGAATTGAAAGAGAATCAAAGAGAAAGCATCAAACCTCATTGTTTTAGCATTTCAAGCCTATTTTCATTCAATGTTCATTTTGCTTTCAAGAACACTATTTGTGCTAAATTGCATTATTCTTGAGTGTTATTTCTTTGTTTCATAATTGTGCAAACATCTTGCCTTTGTGAAGTTTTTATATAAGTTTGCGAGATTTGTATTTTTCTCTTTGGGAGAGAGTGTTCTCAAGAATTTTGGGTACTATTCTTGAGGGATTTGTAAGGTTACTTTTTGTCCTCAAAAGAAAGACAAATTAGTGAATTTGTGGAAAATCCTTAGTGGATAGCTAAGGTAGGACGTAGACTTTGGTTGAGAAAGTCGAACCACTCTAAATCGCTGTGCAAATATTTTCTATTTTCTGCAAAAGCTTCCACCAAAAATTTTATTGTGAATTCACCCCCTCTTGGCTATTTCGTCAATCGATTAACTCAACGGAGTTGTAAAATGCAACTTAAATAACTCAAAAGTTTTAGTAATTAGTAGATTTATTTTTTAAGTTTGAGTCAAATCCTTGGACGTTGTGATATATATATATATATATATATATATATATATAACGTATGAAAAATATGAATAAATATATTTGTATTGTATATATGATTATAGAAAGTAATTTAAATTAGAATCAAATAATATTATAAATATTTACAATTAAATTTAAATAGAAACTCAAAAAATCGACTTGACTCAAATTTTATAAACTCGAATCAACTCGAAAAAATATCAAATCAAGTTTGAGGTGTAAAATCGGACTCGTCAACTCGAATAACTTGAAATTTTGACTCGACTCGATCAAACACTCACCCCTACCTATAACTCTAGTGATAATTGAAACAAATGCTTCAAAAATAATATATGGAGAAATTTTAAAATGAGTCAATAATGAAAAAGAGCGTATAGTCTTCACATCTACGCATTGAAATCCGACTAAGTAAAATTATAATATTATTAAAAAAATTATAAATAGTTTTATGTATTACCAAAAATTTATTTTATGAATTGATTGAAAATCGGTAAAAGATGTTTTAAAAAAAATATTCAAAATATTTCGTTCAAATAGATTTTTTCAATATGACATGCTATTTTAAGTATATTTGATTGTGAAATTGAATATATTAAGAGAGAATCTATTTTTTTTATCCGATTTTCTCACCAGAGAATTCCTACAAAATAGTTCCAAATAGAGAGATAAAGAAAAAGAAAAAAAATCAATAAGTTCAAAACAAATATCTCTTCAAAAAAGATCAAAACAACTGGTAGTTTCAAAACACTATAAAAAAATTTTGCTATATTTTTCAAATAAAGATGTTGAATGGTAGGAAGATTTTAATTTTTTTTAATAAACTTTCACACCTTTTGATTAAACAAATTTTTGATAAATGATATTCTACACCAACATATATTGAGAAAACTCATAAATACTATAAATCTAAATAGGATATGTGGTATTTAAATATTATATTGATAAAACAAACTTAAATTTTATTACGCATTCTATAGTTCAGATCATCAAAGTTTTTAGACCAAAATATTTAGGTGAAAACCCATCAATCATGATGAAATTTTTAGCATCATTCTATTAAAAAAAATTCATTGTACCCATATTTTGTACTAAGACTACTGTTCAGCCTGGTATGCAACATTCTTGATGAATAACCAACATATGAGACAATTTTGACTTATATATTTCAGTTATGGATCAAATTATAAATTTCTTAACTGATTTCAAGAATAGTGTAAATAGTATGGACCATTTTTTGAAATATTACCACAAAAAATACAAGTGATTTAGCCCAAATTCTTTGACGAATACCATCCAGCCCAAAAGATCTCTACCCAAGCATACTTTTTTCTCTCAAAATTATGCATTTTTTGAACTGTTTCATATGAAGATGGTGATTATCTATTGTTTGAGTTTTCAAAACCAAATGGTGGGATAAATTCAATGACTTCAATAATTTTTTTACCAAAAGTTCAAATTTCTGTAAATCAGTCTCTACGGGCAGAGACAACACAAGATTTTCATAAACAAAATCAAACACTAACACCATATTAACACGAGTTAGAAGGAATACAAGAACTTAATGACAGAAACATTAAGTTCAATGTATTCCAAATCTGAATCATAAAATGAAGAGGAAAGCTCACAAACATCATCAATCAAAACTTTTTATCTTACAGATGATACCACCACAATAGCGATCATCAAGACTAGAAGGAAAAGTGAAAAGAAAAAGAAAAAAAATGTCAACAGAAGAGATTTTTTGCTCTACCGATGAATGAAGATAAAAATGCATAACAATGAAGATTCTTTACTCCACTGCCAAAAATACAACTACAACACAAAAGAATGCAATAATAAAGATTCTCTGCTACACCAAGATGAAATGCAATATGAAGATGTTTCCACAGCTACACGAAAGGACGAAAAGCATCAAAGCAATTTAAATTATCATTTAACTTCTTTTTCATTTCAAATTACTGTAAATTTTTAAACTTTTTGAACTGTTACAATATTTTTTTTTCATCTCATTGAGCTGGAAAAGGATGGAAAAAGAGGATAAAATCCTCCATAATTAATGTTACATGGCACGGCCTCATTTTCTAGAATAAAATTCTTGTTAAATCAAAATTCTCTCAATTTTAGTTTTATTTTTCAAATATTTTAAACAAAGTTCTCTTTGTTGAAATTAAGTTACTTAGAAACCAAAATCAATTTCAATCAATTAATCAATATATATATTCTTTTTATTAATCTGGGATAAATATAAAACATTTGAACAAATTTAACAGGTCAGACGACTACATGAACAAACAGGTTAAACCCTGGGTTCGTAAAATCGTACTGGTTTATTTGCAGCCACTACAAATTACATTGCAATGGTATTACATGGATACATGCACAACCGGATCTCTGCATTATGAATCTATCAACCGCAAGTCATAATGGATTTTTGTAAAATAAAGGATACATTGCATATTTACAGATACAAAATTCTTGATGATTGATTGTCACAGCTATAAGTCTCACCCAGGTACATAATAATCCATCTTCTCCACTGGCAGATTCAGAACAGATGTTTCCACCTATACAAAAAATTGGGATTAATTGCAAAAAGGCATCAAGAGGGTTGCCAATGCATACACGTTCTCTTCTCAGACCTTTACCACATGATTCCCATTTAATGATATTAGACGGCAAAAGCATCTATTTCCAAACATACTGATGATAAATTAATTGGATAAACCACGTATTTAGCAGTCCAACTATTCCCGCAGTTCCGTTTTGATCATTCAACTATTTTTTTTTCAAAATCACAACTAATGTTTGCATTTCGGTTCCGTTTCGATCATCATTTATTAAAAAAAATTATCGGTAATGCTGACATACCACCATAAAATAATACATCACTGAAAAAAATAAAATACTATCACGTCAACAATTCTGTCTTCTTTGTTAACGGCGGGTGACCAAAACAAAATCAAAATATAACTTTTGAGATATTATTTTGGAAAAAGAATAATTCAATGAAAAAATAAGGAACTACAGGAATAGTTGGGTGGGGTGACTAAATACGTAATGTATTCTAAATAATTTGCAGAATCGGATTAGGTCGTCCGCAATAATAAGGTTGGTTCATTAATAGAAGATTAAAGGGTAGAAGAAACAAGGTTACCTCCTCAAATGGGACAAAGACAAATGGAGTTAAACCCCTTTTGTGGGACACAGCAGGCACATCTGGATTGTGAGTTTCATCGTCCTGCCACCCTTCCACAACTCCAAGGATGTCCTCTTCCGGACCACTGGCTTCATTATCATCCACACCACTTGTAACCAGGGAAAGTAAATCCATTCGATTGTTAGCTCCTGATATTGTTCCCCGTAGTCTGTGCAAGTAGATAGAAAGAGAAGTGGAAAAAAAATGGCTAAATGTAGACTTGTACAAAGGGAGGGGTATTAAGGGAGAGAAGAAATTTGTTTTGAAAGAAGGTACTTGAACAAATAATCATCCAACAACAGGAGGTTGAAACCAGCATTAGGTATCCAATGATTAAATCAGGGCTAAACTACTATACCTAAACTATTACTTTTATTCCGTTTTAGTACCTAAACTTCCAATTTTTTCAAAATCATACCTAACATATACTTTTTGTTTGGTTTTTGATACCTCGCTGTCAAAAATTTAATAGTACTGTTGTGCGTGGCACTTCTTTACTGATAAATTACATCATTCATCACTCAACTATCTTCTCATTCCTATTTTAGTCACTATAGTTCAATTTGTTTAATATAATTACTTAACTTTCAAATTACTCCTAATTTGATCACTTTAACTCTCAAATTTGCTTTTTATTTTACTTATATATTAATAAAATAATAATAAAAATGTCATGTCACAAAAATTATTAATAAAATAAAGTAGAGTAATTAAAACATGAGTTAAAAGTTAAGTAATTAAATTGAAAGTTTTTAAACTTTAATGACCAAAATAGGAGTGAAAAGATAGTTGAGCGATGAATGATATAATTTACCCATAAAAAATACCATGTACAACAAATCCGTTAAGTTTTTGACGACGGGTACCGAAAATGAAATCTAAGCTAAACGTTAGATATGATTTTGAAACAAAATAAAGTTTAGGTACCAACACGGAACAAAAGTAATAGTTTAAATACTAAATGTGTAATTTATCCTCAAATCAAACTGACTAATGAAAAAAGCAAACAAAAGTGCAGTATTTTACACAAGACCTTTAGGACAAACAGAGCTAGTCCATCACAAAATTTTTCATTTGTAGAAGGATAAATATTTTTAACTCCACAGAAAAAACTAAGAATTTATTACCTTAAACGGATTCTCAGCACAGTAGGACGCATGCCAGGGTACAAGACAGCAGCTTCAACCTGCATAATAGAATAATCATGAAACCTTAGAGGTGCATAAGAAGCCATAGATAACAGGATGAGAGCAGGCAATGAATTGAACGGTTATTTCAATGGAATGCAAACGCACAGCCTCTAAAATATGAAATTCCAAACATTATTTTCAAGAAGGAAACTGGCCTTGTCATCTGACAAAGTGTAATGGCCACCAAAAACACAGTCTGCTTTAGATGCACGGAAATTCATGAATTTTGCCACTTCCTTTATTTTTTGAGATGAGTTCTAATGACAAAAAATATAAATATAAATTAGATTAAAAACATGGTATCATTTTCAAAAATGAAAAGTGTTATCATCAGTGGTGCAACACAACCTTGTATAGAAATCTGCCGGAAGGGAAAAATCTCAAGTAACGAAAGTAGCAGACCTTTAAGAGTATAGACCAAAGAAAAATAAATCAGAAATAATTTCAGAATAAAGCATGAGAAGGAATATTTTGCTATGTGGGATATATGGGCTGGCATAATACTATGTGAACAGGATTTGTGATCTTCCACTCTGCAACTCCAGCACGAATATAAGTGTTCCTACTCACATAAAGACCTGCAACGTGAAACACAATGCAAGTTTCATGAAACATAATCAGGAATTCCAACGAATCAAAATAATGAAAGGTCTAGCAAATGCAGAAGAAAACCAGGTTTGTTTCATGCAACTCCATATGTACAGCAAGTATAACATAAGCACTTGAGCATAGTAGTTTTCCATGTACATCAGATTCAACAAAATTCAGAATAAAATCAGTATGATGTTTATAGCATTAAAACTTAGCTGTACAAGTATTGGATTGTTCTTTGGGGGGAGACCATGTCTAATGATGTTCAAATACCCGAAAGATTCCAAACATGAACTATTTGAATGGATATATTACTGATGAATTCATGAAAGAAAGTCAAATGATATAGCTTTGAGATTTTGAATGCCGCTTTTCTTAACTTATTTCATCATAGCTTTGAGATTTTGAATGCCGCTTTTCTTAACTTATTTCATCCCACCAATTATATTAAGCAGATAATGCATTGTTGAATGGCCTTAAGATACAACAAAGCTTATGTTTGACGGCACTTTCTACTAGTGAAACCAAACAACTAAATGATTTTCCTAAGAGACAAAAATATAATTCTTATGCTTAGTTTTCTATAGCAACCAAAGACTACAAGACATACTTTACATTGAGAATGATACAGTCCAACGGAGAGAAACGTGACTGGTCTAAAACTTGTGTTAGTATCTTAAAAATAAAGCCCAAAAGAAAAGGGCCCAAATCACCAAAAAGCTATATTTAACCTCCAAGTAAAATTGTACCTGATAAAGGGCCTGACAGCTGGTAAAGAATAAACGGCTAGAAGAGAAGGTATGCCCACAGGAAGCAAGGAAGAATGCAAAACAAGGGCATACAGTACCATGACATGATATATAAAGAACAAGGTATACTTCAAATATGCCCACAGGAAGCAAGGAAGAATGCAAAACAAGGGCATACAGTACCATGACATGATATAAAAAGAACAAGGTATACTTCAAAGGAGGTATGAGAAAACTCTAGCAGCTATACACCATTCTTCTTCTTCCTTTTACCATTTCTAAAACCCCTATTTCTTATCTCCGGACGCCCTAGCTTACTTGCACTTTTATGCAGGACCATTCCCACTTCCTCCTATACCTAGTCCAGCATCCTTTTCCTCTCTGTCACTTGAAGGAAGAAACAAATTGTTTTTGGTATTATTCATCTATCTTTCAATATTCTATGTTGGAAAATGTTCAATCTATATTTATAGAGACTTAATCAAAAGTTCAGTCTCAGCTATGAGTTTGAAACATAATAGTCGTTACAAGCAAAGTACCAAAATTTGAACTAGGGTTCTGAAATCTTTGATTCAAGTGATATGAATCCCCTCTATATATTATACAAAATCCTTTTCAGACATAGTATTTGAATCACAATAGACAAGTATTGAGTCCCCTTGCGTAAAAAATCACAGAAGCAAATTTTCCTCTCTAAAACTCAGGAATTTGACCTCCATCAATGATTATTTGAATCCTCACCAAATCTCATATAGTTTCAACTATAGATCCCAAACGAATTAATCAGTTTAATTATCAAATCATCGGGATGAATGGAATTATGAGAATTAAAGAATATGATCATAAAAATTCACCCAAGAACAAAATGGCAACATGAGCTGCAATAAGAAAATACTAGACATAGCACAGGATTGGGAATTTCAACCTAAATAAATGCAAATAAGATGCTCGACTCCCTTTCCACCAAATATGTATCACCAAAAAAAAAGTAGCTTACCATCAGTTCGTACCCGAGGCCTTAAAAGCCACATTTTCCTCCATGAACCTTCATATTTTGACTGCAACATCTTATAATTCTCCACCAGTCCAGAGAGCTTTATAAAAAGACATTAGTTTTAAGCATAAAAAATTTGCACACAACAGCTTCAAAAAATTCTGAAGGTCAAATTTACCTGCCAAGCCTTTAAGCATGCAGTACGCCAAAACAAAGGGTTACGGATTGTATACCTCCATTTTCGACAAACACACGATGCCCTTCCTAAATCATATGGAGCCATTCGTACAAAGACCTGTACATTCATTTTCCGACATAACTCTCTAATCAGGGTGCAAACAAGAAAATAAAAACATTTTTTATTCTTTTTTATTAAAGTGAAGTATTCTGCCAATTTAAAGGATGGAAATTTGGAACTTTTGGTATTAAAATTAGAATTTTAGATTTCAAGCAAATAGAAAATAAACTTCAAAGGGTCTGCTTATCAACCAAGTCAGAATCAATTAATTAAAAATTCTATTTCTGCATTCACCATCTCGAAGCATCACATTTCTAGATTAACAATAAGAAACAGATTGAGAAAACCGAGATAATTAATATCAACTTCATAAAAATAAAGGGTTGCAATGCCTCAAGAAGCAGCTCATCAGGCAAGCATCGATGGATAAGTGCAGGATCAACATATGATTTTCTGCTGGCGCTTCCGAAAGGGGCAACTGGTCTAACATGTTTCCCGTAAAGATCTGAAACAAATAATTTACAAGTGTTTTATACAGGAAATGTTAGCTAATAGCATCAAAACTAAAAATAAAAATGAAATCATTACAAGAAAAAAAATGCAAATAAATACCAAGCCAAGGCCTTTGCGTTACAAAGTACTGTACGGTCTTCAAGTGCAAAGCTGATTCTAATTCTATCTCCGACGGAACTGTTAACGCAAATTCAGCAAATTAAAGGCTATTACTCAATCAATCATAATTCAACTGAAGGAAAAAAATTAAAAAAAAACGTCAAATTAAACCCGCAAAAAGATTAAGATTAAATATTTTTCAGTTATTCTTCTTAATTCTGTATCTAAACAATTGGAAGACAAAATTTAACATGATTACCAGTAGAAAAGAAACGATATATTGAATTTAATGAAAGAATTCAACTATATAAATATAAATACCTGGATTCATGGGAATTCAACTATATAAATATAAATACCTGGATTCATGGGAATTCAACAATGAATTATATTTCTATTTTCTCCTCTATATATGATACTCAAGGGAAAATAGAAGAAAATCTTATTGTTTTCCCCTCTTTCTACCAAACCCCGATTCTTCCAAAAGGGAAATAAGTGATGGAAAAATGCTGAGATTAAACATGAAAGGCCCAATCAAATTTTCTTTGATCAATTTTGAAGACGGTGAGTTTAACTGAAAATAATTTAGGGATATTAACGGGCCGAGTGAATCAGCCCAGTCCTTATTTACCGAATACAACAACTAGGGGTATTTATAATGTTTTTCTGGCCCAATACCCCTTGCGGGTTAATTATTTTGGGTATTAGGGCGGCCCAATTTTTATTTTGGGAAATACGACAAAAGTTATAGTGTACATGGACGAGTTTCCTCGAATATTATTTTTTAATGGTCCCCGATGAGCGGGCCATAGGTGGGCAATTATTTTAATGTCTTTAATGCGACTCGTCACCTCGAGGTGACGAGTCTATTAAAATATTATTTTTTAAAATATAAAAAAATTAGAGGAACTCGTCACTTTGAGTTGACACGTTCCTTCAAATTAAAAAAAAAACTAGTCGTTTTGTAGTTGTTTCCAAAAGAGCATATGGACAACGATCACTTGGTTAGGCCAGATAAAATTTTAAAAAAATTAAAATAAAAATAAACTTATTTATATTTTAGAAAATACAAAGTAAATAAATAATTGCAAAAGAAATAAATTGTTTACAGATAAATTACAAAGAAATTTATTTATATTTTCTAAATTCTTGACGATGCCGATGAATGGTCAAATGATAATGGTATGGGGCTCATCGAATACATCAGGGTCGTAGGCCTTGATTGTCGTCATCTTCTTCATCTTGTCGAGGAGGTGTATTTAACACACTTTGAGATCCACCTTCGAAATACGATGATGAACTTATGATATTTGACGCCATCATTGCCATAACTAAATCTACTTAACTGTTACTTTGTTGACCATATAAGATATGATCCCACTCACCCGCAACCGCATGTTCTATCGAATATGCTTGAGTGTATTGTAGTGCATCCCATAAACCTCTATCCCAAGTCGGTCGAGTTTCGATTGAAGTATGATATAGAGGATAAATCATTTCAATACAATTCAATTCAATCCAAAAATCAATAATTTCCTACAAACCCTAAGGTGAACAAAACCTTATACATGTAATTCTAATTGATTTTAATCATTACATAAGCTTGGAAGCAGCTCTAGAACAACAACAACATCAAAATTAATCTTTAAATCATCATATTTCAACTTCCCCTTCGTCCACCATAATCACCAAACCAAGCACTCAAGCAAGCTTAACATGATCTATTTATACAAAATTATAGAGAATTTGATGTAGATTAATTTTCTATTTCACACTTTAGTCCAAAAATCAACTAAATAAGCTTAAAAATGGATTAAATTTTTTTCCTTACCTTAACTATGGCTTGCGGAAAAAACAAGAAGAAGATGAAGAGTTCTTGAATTTTCCTTAGCCTTAAAAATTCATGTTCCACTCTCGAAATTTTTTTCCTTAGCCTTGAGTTTACTTTGATCTCGATTTCGATCATGATCTATATGAACATAATTAACAGTGCACATACAATTTAAAACACATGTTAGTATCTTACTAACATGGGGCACATTAGCATAAATATTTCTAAAACTTTCTTTCGATACTCGATACTAATTATATTTCATATGATCAATGACAACCTTTATACTTCAAAATACAACTTCAAGTCTCTCAATATTCATTTCAGTGAATAATTCACATAACCATTTAAAATTTCACAATTTGACCATCAAAATGAATTCTTTTATAATTCATCCTAATAATTAAAATTTATTCAAAATGGTCCTATCTAAAGCTGAGAAAATGAGAAGAGATCGGGTGATGAAGAAATTATATTTGAATAAATCGGATCTCTTATTTTCTTAATTATCTGGTACATCTATTTCAAATTCTGTTTTAAAGAAAAGGTGGGCCGAAGCTTTTATTGAAGCACAGGAGGCAGTATCTGTAGATAGAAAACTTGGACTTATGGTTGTTAATCCCGAAATGGTGGCTCTTTAGTAGTTATTGTCGTTAGTATTGCGTACTCATTTTTTTAGAGTTTTGTTGGGGTTTTTAGGTGATTGCTTTCGGTTTTCGAGATCAACTTATTTTTGTTAGATTGGATAAGGGGGTCTGGATCAATTGTTGTTCATTTTGGAGCTGTTGGATTTACAGATTGGAATTTTGATCGATCTTCTTGTGGCATGTTAGCTCCCTTGATTTCCATGTTCTTGGTTGAAGTTAGAGGTCGTTCTATTATTAAGTTGTTATTGTTGAGTTGTGCTTTTGGCTCCTTTTTGTAGGAGGTTTGTGTTGTTTTTACATCACCTGGTTAGACGTGTCTTTGTAGTCTCCTGTATATCTGGCAGTGTTTTTCTTCCTCAGGAGCTAGTTTCTGGCTTCCTGCTCTTTCCACCTCATGGTTCACTATTTTTTCTCCAAATAGGTTTAGGGAGGTTTTTTAATGAGGTTCATGGGGTGGTGTACCTTGTATCCTTATCAATACAAAGTACCTATTTTTCAAAAAGAAAAACTTCAAATTCAAGCTTCTAATATCACATTCAAGCATTCCAACTGTGTATTTACACAATACATATTAACTTCAAATCAATTTCCATTTCAAACCCACAATTCTTATAATTTTTGATTTGGTCCCTTAACCTTTACAAACGTCCAAATTGGTCCAAATAAATAATAAAGCTTGTAGAATCATTCATTCATAATTTCTAACCGTTGTATAATTTTTTTCATAATTTTCCGTTTGCATACATAGGCTAAACCTAGCATGCTTACTTAGGCAATATAAAACCCTAAGTGGTTGAATTCAATATAACCACTTTTAGTGGTTTTTCATCAACTTTCAAACATAGAAATATATCAACATCAACTTCAACATAAACCAACCTTAGAACATGAAAATCTAACATTCCCTTCATCATTCCAATTTATGAACTTAGGGTTTCAAGCATGGAAAGCATTAACAAATGGTACCAAATGATAGAGAATTTCATATAGAATAATTTTTTATTTCATGATTTCATCCAAGATCTTAACAATTTGGCTTGAAATGGAAAAGAAAAATGTTTCTCGTACCTTGCAAAACCCACGACCATTAAGAAGAAATGGTAAAGAAATCTGGAAATTCTAATTGAAAATACCTATGTCATTTGTCTTTTAAATAATTAAAATGAATTAAAAATTCATTTAATTTCAAATGACTATTTTGCCCTTATCATCTCATGATAATTATCAAGCCACATGTCAATTTTGTTCATCTAAATGTCAAAGATGAACCAACTAATTCATGGATTCCAACTTTTCCCTTAAAGTTTCCCCCGAAATTAAAATATTGCCATTTAATGTCCCGATTTATCATGGAAAATCAACTTAAATCCAATGGTGCTAAGGCTGGTGCTAAGGATAGAGTCATGATTCCAATTTAAGAATGCAAAATATAATTAACCATAGATAATGAAGGGTGAATTCAAAGTAAACTAAAATTATGAGCTTTAATTTAGGATGTTCCCATTTAATTTTTTAATAATAAAAAATGATAGGGGTACTAGCCCCTAGGACGAAACATAACTTCTTCTCTGGCTGATGTCATCATCGATCACAAAAAATGGAAAAAGAATACTTATCCCGATAACAAAAAGGAAAAATTAAGATTAAAAACCTTCCCTCCCTTTAATTATTAAAATGACTTGATGGGATCCTCAACCCATGCTTAGATTTATAAAAGCGGAAATTATTCGATTAAAGCCATGTATCCTATGTGCATATTTACTGCAATCATGTAAGAAGGAACATGCAGCACTATGTTTTTTTTTCCTTCAATTTTCATTTTAATTAAATGTAATGTAAATCCAAGACGAAGTACGAAGGATACAAAAGACTAGTTGGCTTTTATCTTTACATATATTATGCAAATCCATCCATGTCCACATTTTTTATAATATTTATTTAGCAATTAAAATAAATTATAATCAAAGGAAGAAAAATATATATCCCCACAATAAGACTACACCCCATGTGCATGACTGTTAATCCATATTTCATCGCACTATCTTCTACTCAATCTGACTCACTTCTTTGCCAAGGATAGAAATCAGTGTTTCTGAAAATAATCTTCTGTTCTTTTACGACAGTAAATATAGTATTTAGCGAAACCATCTTATCAATGGTTGACTTGATCTGTTGTCTCACTGTGCAGAGGTAACTCAAAATCATACCCTTTGTATTCCTCTTCGTCATCTTCTTCATCATCATTTTCTTCCTTCTCAGTTTCTTCCATGGTTGCCGCCTGGCTAATTTCTTGCTGCGGCGGAGGCCATTGCTGCTCCGGTCGTACCATTAACGGCGCAACTGAACTGTCAAGCTTATCGCCATAGCCAGAAAAAGCAAGTGCTGAATTCTCGGTTCTGCTATTTTTCTCTTTGTAAATGGCGTCCAGCTGGTGAAAATATGGGCAAGTCTTGGAATCGTCGGGCCTCCTCTTGTTGCTTTCTTTAACTTTCTTGAAGTATTTGTTGATGTTTTCCCATTTCTCTTTGCATCTCTTGGCGCTCCGATTGAATCCGAGCTTCCTCATCTTGGCCGAGATCTCTTCCCAAAGAGGAGCCTTGGGTCCGTTTTCATGGTATTTAATTTCAAGGTTTATCCTGATCTTTATAAGAGCTTCAACTTCGTCTTTTGGCCATCGTGAAGAACTCGATGAAACGACATTATCGTTATTATTCGAGGTTTGAGTTGGCGGCGCCGTCTGCTGAAGCGGCGGCGGCGGTTCGGGATTTTCTTGCGGTCGCAATTGCAGCACGCTTGGTTTCTGTCCGGTCACCTTTTGCAAGAACGCTATCAGTGCAGCATCTTTAGCAGCTGCCATCGACCGTTCCTGAACTAAAATCTCGTGTTCCCTATTGATCTGCGCCAGTTCTTGAATCCTCCAATCTTCTTCCCGAGCCAATCTTTCCAGTTCGCATCTCTCAATGGATTGCAGGAACTTGTTTTGAAGCTGCTCTTGCTTCTCGATCACCTCCTTTGTCAACCTCCTGAAAAACGCCTTCCATTTGCTCTTCTTCTTACTGCTCCCTTGAACCGAATTATCGTCCGAGGCGGTTGAAGAAGAGGTAGAAGTGGATAAAAAGCTATGGAAAGAAGATTGGAGATTATTGGAAGAAGGATTCATAGACTGCTTATGATCAACTTGAGGTGCATTAGTAGGGTTTATTTTTGGAGGCGAAACCGAAAGTGAGTGAAGATTTTCAAGGGCTTCTAATTGATCGAAGAACCGATAAGTCTTACCATCGGCCTTGCCTGTTCGACCATCTTTGGTCCTCCGGTGGTACTTGTAAACATTCTCAAATTTCTCCTTGCATTTCTTGGCACTTCGATGATAACCAAGCTCAGCTAATTTCCTGGTTTAAAAAAGAAGAAGAGTTTGTTTAAACTTTGTGTTACTAAAAACCATCAAAAGTTCATGTAGTAAAAGAGAGAAATAAATAAAGAAAACCTAACAAACCAAGGCCACATGGGAAACTCATAAGCCATGTTGGAAGCATATGCATACATTTATTAGCCAATGTAACCTCTTCTTTTATGAATTTTACTAAAACGGACAAAAGCCAAAACAAACTCATCAACTACAACTTTCAACAGCTGGGAATTTCATATGCTTGAAATGAAAAGGGTTAGACAAAAAAAATATGAATTCAATTCCCTTCTCAGCACCTAAATTAATGAAACTGAAAACTGAATCCAAGAAAATGATTAGTGAATGATATCTAAGATGAGAACAACAAGAACCCAGTTTGAAAATCTAAATCATAAGATCTGCATGCATGATCAGCTCTTGAATTTTCAACCCTTTGAAGCAATATATATATATATATATAACTCATAAAGTGAACTCAATAATTAAAGAGACGTTGTTTTCCTTTTAAGTCATGAGTATAAACAGGCATTCTCTATGGTTAAAAAGGTTAGCTCAAAATATTCAAAAGAAAAAAAAGAAGAAGATTTTTGGCATACCTGGAAACCTCTTCCCATAATGGACCCTTGAGGGTGGAGTCCCGGAAATCGGAATCCATATCAGAACGGATCTTCAATAAAGCCAAAGTCTCTTGCCGAGGCCATCGGTTCCCTCCGAAACTCCGGTTACCGTTATCAGCCCTAATCTTCTCTTCTTCAACCATCACAAGTTCACATGCTTCACGGATCCCAGGAGGCGCTGCTTCTGCATTGCCAGAGCTTTCTGCCATGCTTGGGGGTAGTAAGAATGTTGGAATTAAATTTATCTGAATTTGATCAGTTTAGTGGTGTATATAGAATGTTGAAATTAAACTATAGTTAGATGAGGCCAAAAAGAAAGAAAGAAAGAAATTAAAGAAATAAAACTATAGTTAGATGTAGGTCATTTTATTAGGCGAAAGCCATTTATGGAGTTGAAGTAAGTAGTGACCAATGCAGTTAGGGTGTGACCTACCAAACGTAATAAATAGTATAGAAATTTCGCTGGCTGAGATATTATTTTATAATTAATTCCCCATGATTCATGAATTATTACAATTACTGGGACCATATCCCTGCTTTTTTGAGTTGTATGTTACTATAACCCGTGCCGAACTATCCAATTATTTTCTTTAATACCAAAGAGGTCAATATTGGAGATAAACCAATGAATCTATTTTTTTTAACTTTCTCGATTTTAAAAATAAAAAAAAGGAATCAGAACCCAATGAGAAAAAATAAAGACAAAAGTCACAAAAAAAATTTTGTACAAAAAGAAAAATATTAAACTTAAGAATACGAAGAAAAAAAAAGATTTTCCTATAAGAATAATGATCAAAATAAAAAAACCGAGTAACCTTCATAAAAACTTATTGTTTCTATCAAATGAGACGCTTTACAAAGTGATAAAGAAGTGGTGAGTGAACTAAACTAACTGACAAGTTTTTTCCCTATAGAATAATGATTATATCAACGAACAACATTTTATCAAAGAGGGAATCTGACTATAGTTGACCCTAACAAACCAATCAAAAAACAAAAATCGTGAAGGTCTTTGTGTGAGCACCAAAATGACTATAAAGGTATGTAAAAATCGTATCAAAAAGCCATAAAAATCATGCTACAAGAGTAAAGAAAATACATGTCACAAGAGTAGAAAATATTGTATCTCAAGGTCGTATATTCATATTCATATTCAAAAATAAAAAAATAATAAAAAATAAAAACAAATGATATAGTATGAAAAAACAAAAAAACTAATAAACACTAGTAGTCGATAACTGATATTAAAATTAATGACATCGTCGACTAACCAAAAAAAACAACAACAAAAAAATATTGAGGGAAACCTAAGAGAAAGCTTGAAACTGATTTATTCAAATTTGAAGTTTAAATTTACTATAGAATTTTTATGAGCGAATGAATTTCACTTGATTAAATCGGATTTAATTGTACTAGTAAATGGTTAGAAGGAAGTGACGGTGAATAAAGACGTAGCTAGGAGCAAGCATTGTCTTAGCCCTATGGGTTAAATGGTCCAATTTATTTTAGTCCCATCAAATTTATTCATATTTACTCTTAGTAGAATAAATAGATTACATTTTCAGATCCACTTAAAATTTTAAGGTTTATGAAGTCCTCAAAGTTTTACAAAAGAAATTAATATGATTACTGAACTTTTTTTGTCCTCAATGTGATAAAGAAAAATTAAACTCACAGTAAATGATGATTTGATAGTGTCTTGATGATTTTTTTGTCATGTTCAATGGTCTAATTGATTTTTTTAAAAAAAGTTTGAGGATTTATTTAATTTTAAAATATAAAAAATATTTAAAAATTAAATATATTTAAAAATTAAATATAAAAATACTATAAATAAAAATTAAATTATTCAAAATATTCAAAAATACTAAAAATACTAAAAAAAATAAAATAAAAATATCACAAACTGTAACATGATAGATTATAAATTATTAAAAAAATATTTTAAAAAACTTATATTATACATAATATATACATGTAACTATTAAAGTTAAAATTGCACGTTGGTTCATGCATTTTGCCACCCACAATTGGCAATTCAATTGGTTAACCGCATCCAATGTGGTAAGTGGGAGTTATCCCACTTTTAGTGATCCCACTTTATAGGGTATGGGTAATTGTTTTGAGTGTTTTTTTATGGAAAAATCACTATAAATACTTGTAGCCAAGAGGTCTCTAAGCATAAAATCATTCATTCCAAAGCATTCCATTTGAGAGCATTTGAAAATCTATTCCAAGTGAGGTTTTGAGTGCATAGAAGATCTTTGGCGGTTCTAACTTTTCAGCAGCCAAGTTCGAAGTGCTTGACGATGTTTCGTGGTGGTTTACGGTGGTCGATGGTGGTTCGACTTATTTGAAGGTGGTGCAATCAAATTTCGGGTTTCGATATAAGGTGTAGGCAATGGCTGGAAGTATTTATAATGATCTTTTTCCGTTGCGTTTATGCTCAATGTATGAAAGCATGTCTACATTTGGTATCATAGCATGGTTAAATCACTCTCTTGTCGTTTTAAAGTTGTGAAATTCTCAAAATATGATGCTATGTTTATTTTAATTTTAAAATTTTAAGATTTTGTGTTGCAAACTTGTTGCTAAAATCATTGGATTTTGTAAATTGTGATTTCTAAAACTAACTATGCTTGCAATAATTTTGTAAAAAATTTAGAAATATTGAATGATTTTTATGTGCCTAAATTATGGTTAAATGTATGTAAATTATATGGTTGCTAATAACATACATTTTAGGGGCATGGAACTTTATTGTTATTGTATAAAATATTTAACAATAAAACCTTATATTATATGTTTATAGACCTGAATAATTTTATTTACATAAGATCTTGCATGATTGATTAGTAGAAGTTTTGAATAAAATTTAGGGTTAATATATGGCTAGTTTATTTACATAATTTTATTTAGTTAAAGACTAGCCACAACATCTTTAGTTAAATAAAATTACTAAAGTTAAAAATCACATACATAAAGCTTAGGTATTAAATCCTATTAATTAATTTACTAAGGTAAAAGTATTAGACACCTTGTATAGTTACCCACAGGAATTATGAAAGTGAATTTAACAATTTTATTCAAGGGGATAGAAAATAATTATATCATAATATTGATCTAATCGAATTAAAAATTTAGCTCGTCTGCAATTTTTATGTCACTAGATTCATTGTTTACATAATTTGCATTGGTAAATTATGATTTATGTTTGCCTCAAATTTTTGATTAAGCATATATGTTCATTATTTCTTGCAGTTTTACAATCTATGAATATGTCTGATAATCGAGTAGATATCCCTGAATTAACCGGTGAGAACTTTACAAGTAGGATTGGGTTTGAGGAAGTCAAAATGGCTCTTAGAAAGATGGGGAGGGACAAAGCTGTCGGTCCATATCAAATTCCAATCACTGTGTGATTGGCCCTAGGAGAAGAGGGAGTTAAGTGGTTGACCAACATCTTTAATATTATTTTAGAGACTGCCAAGATGCCAGAGGAGTGGAGAGAGTCTACGGTGATACCAATCGATAAGAATAAAGGAGATCCCCAACGTTATGGCAACTACAGAGGCATTAAACTACTCAGCCATATCATGAAGCTATGGGAAAGGGTGATAAAGGCTAGGTTGAGACAAGTTACTAGGGTTTCGAAAAACCAATTTGGCTTTATACCTGGCAGGTCTACTATGGAGGCGATTCATCTACTTCGATGGCTTATGGAGAAATATAGGCAAAAAATAGAGATCTTCACATGACGTTCATTGACCTTGAGAAGGCGTATGATAGCGTTCCCCGCGATACGATCTGGAAGACCTTAGAAAAGAGACGAATCCCAACTGCTTATATCCTGGCAATTCGTGATAGGTATTGTAGATCTACTACGTACGTTGGGACTATAGTTGGCGACACCGAGGCATTCTCGGTGGAAATCAGACTCCACCAGGGGTCGACTCTTAGCCCTTATATCTTTGTCTTGATTATGGACGACATCTATTGTGCGACACCAGACAGTGTTCCATGGTGTATGCTTTTCGCTGACAACATTGTCCTAGTTGTTGAAACAAGAACTGAGCTAAATAGTAGACTGGCTACCTGGAAGACTGCTTTGGAAGAAAAAGGTCTAAGGATCAATATTGAAAAGACAGAGTATTTATGTTCAAACTTCAGTGGGAACCAAAATGATGAAGATGAAGAGATATGCATAGAAGGACACGTTCTCCCCTCAAATGATTGTTTCAAGTACCTAGGGTCTATGATACATAAAGATGGGGGTGTGGATGATGACGTTACACACCGTATAAAGGCGAGTTGGCTAAAGTGGAGGGCTGCTACCGGAGTTTTGTGTGATAAAAAGGTGCCTCTAAAACTTAAGGGAAAATTTTATAGAATGACAATAAGACTAGCGCTTCTATATGATCAGAATGTTGGGTAATCAAGAAGGATCACGTAAGGAGGATGGAGGCCGCAGAAATGAGAATGCTTCGATGGGCATGTGGTAGGACTCTGTGGGACATGACACCAAACTCTGATGTCCTTGGGGGTGGTGCATGTATCCGAAAAATTGAGGGAGGGAAGACTACGATGGTTTAGGCATGTCCTTAGGTGACAACCGTCGGATGCGGTCAAGAGGGTAGAGTCAATTACAGTCGACAGTGCTAGAAGGAGAGGATGACCAAGGGGGAAGTGGGAAGACTGCTTGAGATCTGATTTGAAGGATTTAGCCCTTACCGAGGACATGACCTCTGATAGGAAAGTATGGAAACTTAAGACCAGGGTAGCCGAGTAGTGCAGGTCACATCCATAGGGTGTATTATCTCTGTCTTCTTTTAATGCCTTTGCAGTAATTTCCATGACTTCTACTTGTTATACGTTTATGTCATTGGAATTTATGAAGGCTTAGAACTAGGGTAGCGGAGTAGTGTTGCCTTAGTTTAGGTTTTAACCCATTTGATTATATTCCTTCACGTTGTTTGCTCTCGTTGACTTCTGTGTATCATTATCTTCATGTTTCCTCTTTTTAATTTTAGTCGGATCTTACGTTTATGTTTAAATGCATAGCTTTTTACGCATGGATTACTTCCCATTACAGACGCGCATATGTAGACTGCATATGAAGACTGTTCAACTATGTAATTATTTATTTATATATACATGCATTACATTTTATCTTTATTTTTAATCTTCTAACTTCCGGAGTTCTTCCACA